CACAATGAAGAACCACGGTGAAAGGCAAATGCACTTTACATGAGAAAGTCTGGAAAGGTCACCAGAATGTTTGTGGGAAGGGTACAAGTATTTTTTAACTTTGACGAATGAGACCAAAAGGTGGACAAAGAAACCACTGTTACCACCCCAGGGAGTGAACAAGAATTCCCACAGACTATGAATTAATTCTAAATCAGTTGTGCTCTAATGAAACCCTCTACAACACAGATAGAGATTCACACACCTCAGAGTCACCAGCAGAACAGGGCTGTTAATGAATGTTTTTCTGGAACTTCTTTTAAAGGTTGAGATCTCAAACTGTCATTCCTCTCCCGCTCCCTCTGGACAGCCTTTATACAAGACAGATAAAAGGGGAACTTCTGGCCACGACCACACAGCACAGGGGGAGATTTCAAAGACAAAGATCAATGCCTAATCTTCTGATTTTGGGCACAAACCTTACAATTCAGGGTTATTTCCTACTTGACGATTCCCAACAACGGATTTACAGAAAGACAGGAATTAACAACAGCTCATGACATTTTTATTTTAATGAAATTTAAAAAGGCAGTTATTAGTTATACATACACACAACTGATTCTGTACTTGTTAGTCATAAATATAGAACATTCAGAAGTACAAAATACACTTTATCCACAGCACGATTTCACATCAATATGAAGAGTTTAAACAGATACGTAACCAAGTGCCTAACAATGACAGAAGCCCATTTTTGGAGTTGTTTTATTTTTTTGTTATTTTCTTTTTTTTTTTTTTTAATTTTTTAAAGACCATTAATATACACAAAGTAATCAGTGCCCATAGTCATCAGTTCCATAAAATGCACTCGGGTTTAGAGTAGGAAAAGACTGACCTTTTAAAGACAATTAGATGCCATTACCTTTTCTTTGCTCCATTAATAGAAACAAAACCAAGCCCACATTCTCTTCTTCTCACAGCTAACAACTGTGAAAAATGGGACTCTGGCAAAAATCACCTGAAGCCAAACTTGAGCGCTGCCAGGAAAAGTGAAAATATCTGAACTAGAAATTAGTCCACTCGATACCTTGCAAACGAAGAGCAACAGCAGTATGACACTGATAAGGCATTAATGACAAAATGGCTGTATTATTCTCGAAAAAAGAGTACACCTATGTATAAAAATATATGTCATAGCAATTGGGTAAATCCAACACTATTTAACACTGTGCCAAAAGTAATTAAGAGTTAAAAAGGCAGTACTGCAAGAAGTATTTACAGTTTCAGACTGTACTACGGAAGAAAAAAAAAAAAGGCAACAAAGCTACAAATGGAACTATCTGGTTAAAGCATCACTTAGGTACTGTCAGTAGCACTTGTAACAATGTGATGGAGGGCGTCCCTTTAGTTAAACAGGATTGCTTGTCTGAATAAATGAATGTAAATATTTTAGTATCTAAAATCTTCTCAGTCTACATGCCCGCTCATTGAAATAACTCACCCAGACCATTACTATTTGCAGCTTCTTGCTCCATCAGTTTAAAACCCAAAAGATTCAGTTTCCACAAACACTGTGTTTGCAACACAGTTTGATCAGAAATCACAGCTTTATTTCCAGCTTAAAAAACACAAAAGAAATGAGAAATCCACCACCTGGGAAATTCTGGAAACGGGCAGCCAAAGTGCCAGCAAAGCTACGCCAACGGCAGGCAATAAAAACATTAGCAATCCAAATGCACTTTGTAACTTCAGCTATAGGGTAAGCAAGTCGCTTTAGCAACCAAGCACGTGACGAAAAGATACAGCACAGCCAACGCTACGCAGCTTTTTGGGCCACAAGACCTGGGACAAGGCTGTTGGAGAGGAGCAAGCCACTGACACGGCGGGAGCTAGGGCGGCGCGGGACGCCCAGCAGCGCTAGCGAATGCTCAGCTGCCTCCTTCGCTCGCTCAGCAGCACAGAGTTGCCCAACTCTAAGCTCAGTAAGTGCTCCCTCCCCGCTGGCCCAACACCTCCCATACCGGGGCGGGGGGAAGCGCTGCAGAGATGGGATGGCCGGGAACGGGCGGGAAGGCAAAAAGAAGGGTGGAAACGCCAAGAAGAAAGCATTGGCTTGGGATGGCAGAACAGAAACGGGGATGGTAATGGCTCACAGGGAGAACCCAAACCTGGCACTACCCGGACTGCCCCTTAACAGAGTAGCCCCCCCCTTTCCCAACCAGGAAGGCAGGAGTGGTCTACAAGGTGAGAAGCAGTTCATACTTGGATGCCTCAGGCATATTGGCTTAAAAAAACCCCATAATACTGTATTTAAAAACTCAACAAAAAAGAGAGGTGTGCTTGAAATTCTGCTAACAGTGCAATTTCTAGCTGCACAGCCAAATTCTGTACATGAGAAGGCTTCCACAGTAGTAAAAAACCCACAACACGCTAAAGGAAGTTATCATCACTGATGTCAGGAGAAAGCAAATGTCTTTTAAAAACTTACTTCTAGATCGAATTCAGGAACAAAAACTAAATTATAAATGTACTTCGAGCAGTTTGTTGGGTAAAACAGAACAGAGGAACAGCATTTGTTCAATTAATTTTTCACTTTATGGAGAAATGTTTTTTAAATATTTTAGAAGAACTGACATGATGTCAAGCGTCTTCTGTGCAGATCCCAGCTGCGCATCCACTGCTCCCTCCCTCCCTCCCCATTAGCCCCTTTCCAACGCCGGCCCTGCTGTACAGACACTGACCGCCTCGCTCAGCCGGCGCAGCACCTGGGCACCTTCTACAGACATCAGTGAGCTTCACTCTGGGACAGCAGAGCTTTGCCTGTCTGATTCAATGAGCAGTCATTCATCCAAGCAGCGTGAGCGGAAAGGGAGAAGGCTCCAAGAGGATAAACATCCCTGTATTTAAAAGAATAGTGCGTAAGCGCATGGCTTGCTCACCTAACAAGGTATTTTCCCGCTCTCTGGAAGGGAAGAGATACGAGGTTTTTTGTTTGTTCTCAGCGTGATTTTGGTGAGGCAAGTACAGACCAGGAGATCTGAGGCCTCTCAAGTACTGCATCTAGAGATAGTAAAAAATTTCCTAAAAAACAAGTCCCTAGCCCCAGTTGCACAGAGGGTAAGAGATTGGTCCCAGATTTAGCGAGAGAAACAGTAGGAAGGACTCTTCCTGGATACTGAAAACTACATGCTGTTCTCGGAGAAGGCCGGGAAAGTGAAGTCAGAAGGGATCACCCCCATATGGCTGGTACAGCCACGTCCCTGGGTCATGCCCGCTGCAGCCCAGCAGCCTGCACTGCTTGTCAGCATGAGACCCGTGTGGCAGAGCAGGCTGCAGGACAGGGGCCTGCCTGCTTTTCGAGATACCACCCTGACAAGATGGACTGCAGGGATGTGCATGGTGCCTCCCGTCAGAGGCACCCCAGAATTCAAGAGGAGCCACAAGAAGGGAGACCTTAGTGCTGTGAAGTCTAAGAATTGCTGCAGACATTGAGATCTTCTAGATGGGGGCTATGCCCTGGGTTGCTCTTTCAAGGTGGTCCCTGAATACACAAAGGCCGAGGGAAGCTGCCCCCTTCCTCCTCTGCGAAGGCTGCCTACCACCGTCCAGCCTCAAAGGTTATGAACCACTTGCATGCAGGAACTCTGGGCTCCTTGTCCTTCGTGAGCGATTCCTTCTCTTCTGCCCATTCCAGAAGAAAAGATCTGGATAAAAACGCTGACCTTACAACCCAACCTCTGTAACTCATCACGCGTATGAAATACTGAATAAAAAACATTCTACCACATTTCTGACGAAGACATACGGTAGGTGCCTCGCCCAAGAGGAAGGTGATTAACTTACCTCTACAGAAAAGCAGATAGCTTTCACAATAGTCAAGAGTCCTCAACGTTCTTGATAAGCTGAAAATCCCATATTTAACAGAATAGGGTTAAACAGGGTTTAACAGAAGTGATTGCTTGGGAATCCAAGCAAAAATTCAAGTTATCACCGTGTACGCAGTGGACAATAGTTCAATCGATATCTACTACCAACTCACTCTAAAAAAATTATACACTACAAAACCATCTCACTGCTTGCAGCAAATGAGCTTGAATGATTTCCTAGGCCACCCCCTTGCACTGTTAAAATGTGAGGTTTCACAGTATAAAAAAGTACTTCACAGAAAGGAAATGCAGCTGATATAGAAAATGCAATCTTGATGTGTTTACAGTCATTTTTTACGAGGCAATATTTTTGGGAAAGCAAGAACAATAGAAATTAAAGCAGCCAGTGAGAAATGTATAGAGTTATAGGCCTCAATTCAGTGCAAAACCAGGCTAATAGCTTATGCAAGTAAATGTTTGTTCTGAACAGAGAACCACCTGAATTAAAAGTAAGAACACCTATGTGAAGTGATGGAGACTCCCACGATATCTAAATCCTCCACATATATCGTCAACCTTTTCAGTACACTCCAGAATGGACCCTTGTAAAGGCAAAAGAAACCAGTACAGGAAATCACTTCATACAGCACAAGATATACATAAAGTACCAAAATGTACACACATTCAAGTTTAAGTTAGAAAAGGCGGAGCTGAATCTTCTGGTGAGAGAGGCCGACATTATGTTGCGTAATCTCACGTTTAAAGTGACCTAAAACCTACAGAATCAAAGAAAACAGAAGATTGTGTCTGCTTCCAGAAACTTAAGCTTAAAGCAAGGCATCGAAATTGAGCGGTAGGCACTGTAACAAGACATTACCTTACCTGTTCTCTGTTAGTCTTTGTTACTTCATTATCTATTTAAAAATTACCATTCAAAGCAAATATTAGGTATCATTCACATTCAAATATTTAAGACTCAGAGATATTTTTTTTTTTAAATCAAGCAAAATTCATCTCTGAGGTAGATGACAATAAAAAAAAAAATAAAAAATGAAGCTTTCAATGAACACTAACAAGTGCTGGAGCTCCTCTGTCAGCACTGATGCACCCCAAGGAGGAGAGAGCAAGCCCTACACCACTATCTGAAACATGAGAAATGCGTCTTCTGGTTTAGTAGCTTCTACAGAAATGCAACACAGAAAAAGCAGAGCCAAAATTACGCTGAAATGGCCTTGGAGAAGAACTTCCGTTTCTGCTTCGCAAGCTACTCAGAGAACGGTGGAAACATGCCCAGGTCAGCAAAATCTTCAATGTTGTAATTGCCAGTACCCTGCGTTGGATCCCCCGGCATCGGCAGCATGTCCTGCACGATAAGGAAAAATCAAAGCCAAGTGTCACTTGCTAACACGTTATCCAGACACAAACTGTTTCCTGATCATCTTTTCAGTGCAAAACCAGAAAAGGCCAAAGGTTAGATAAATAAGGTGAAAACCAGACCTGTGCTACCTGTATTTTGCCGAAGCATTTCTGAACCGGAGGTGGGACTTCAGCAGGGCAGAAGTTTTGGATCGCTCCTCTGAATAAGGCACATTTGAGCTGCCCCACACTCCTCCCAGGCTGAAACAGCTCCCCTTGGGAGGGGTAGGTACACATGGAGAGAAGGAAACTCTCCGGTTTCACTACGTGGGCAGTATTCAACATCCCGCACCTGCACCCTACAAGAAAGGAGCTCTTGCTCTATCAGCAAGGGTTTGGGGAGGGCCTCACCTCCTCACCAGCACTCTCTAAGTAAATGTATTACTGCTCTTCGTCCTCTGAGGAACAGCGAAGACTGGACATCCACCCCAGCTAACACGATGTCCAAGCAGCCTTCATGCATATACAAAGGCAGAGGAAATAGCAGGAACTTCTCAGGAGAAACGGGATTTCGTGGTAATTGCTCCCACGTGTCTTGAGCCAAGTGAGGTCCCTGCAGGAGGTTTCAAAAAATACTCAACCTTTCCTCTCAGCGGGAGACCAAAGCCACAGGGAGAAGATATCCCTTGCTGAGAAAACCAGAGTTTACGCTTGCTTTTCCTGTCAGTCCTTACAATAATAAGCTCTTACTGCAAAGCCAAGTTTTGCCAGGGATGGCTCATTCTCCTTACAATAAAACAAAACCTAAAGAGCAATAAGAAAGCTCTCAGGATTTGTTCTGTGAAGGAACAACTACTGAGAGCTGCTGTGTACTGAGAAGTTACCCCAAAATAAAGACAGATTAAAATCCACCTGAGGTCTCTCTAGCAACCCTGTCAATGGTGGTGAAAGAGGCTGTGAACACAACTGGCAGTTTCTCAGCTGCCAGGGTCAGCCTTCATCTTCTGACCACAACTTGCACTTACTTTACGGTTTCCCACATTCCTCCCCAGCCAAGGGGAAGTTGTAGCTGCCCCTGCCTGTTTAAATTTCCATCTCTTTGAAGGCATTTCTGCTGCTGGGGCCTCTGAGGCAAGGTCTCCTCAGGTACAGACCCGGCCTGGTAGCTCCCCTCTAGAGTCTGCGTCCCTCCTTATGCCCAGCTGACCCAGGGCTGCCTTTAGGCACAAACAGTCCAAGCAACTTCTTGGAGGCTTCTGAACTGACTTCTTCCAAGTTTCTCGTCACATCCAGCTATTACACTAATCCCCTCCAAATGCACAGTCACCTCCAAGAGCTCTGCAGGTGAGCCCTGTTCTCCCTTGGCCCTCCTTCCCACCAGTTTCCTAAGATGTTTGCTGGGACACAGCATTTGCCTGAGACACAAGCAAGAGGCTGCCTGGAGCCCCGTGCCTCTGTGGGCCGTTGAACCATGCTGCCATCAGCTCCACTGGAATTACCCTGAATATGCTTTTGGGTTAAAGTATATGCAAAGTGATTAAACTTTGCTTACAGAGAGATGTGACCGATTAATCTTGCCTGGGCCGTGGGGTAAGAGCGTGCAGACAGGCAGTTGCTCCAGATGTAGTGATGTTATTTGCTCCTGTGTGAAGCAATGGTTCGTTCACACAGGAATATTTCCAGTCTCTTCTGCAGTGTTCCTGAGAGCAACTGAGCACGAGCCCGGTCTTGCAGGTGAATTTACTTTCTAAAAGATAATGAGGTGCCCCACTTCTAAATCTTGCTTGGGGCTTGAACTGTCTTTTCTGCATTTATCTGCATTGTTTTGTTGCAAACTGTCGTCTTGATCTAATTTAAAAACAAGTCAAACAAGCACAGAGACCTTATTAGTTAACTTATAAAGTCCCACTACATCTATAGTAAAGGCCCAAAATGATACTTAATATTACAAAATTAGGTAGTTGGAGAGGATTGTTTACCAGCTATTTGATAACTGACTGGGTTTAACCTCAAAAAATTATTGGCCACTATCTTCTATGCAGTATCAGACTCCTTTACTGCTGGAACTATCAGAAGAGAATTACACTGATATCTAGTTGGATTTGACTGGGGTTTTAGAGGCCAGCACCAGGATAAGAAAGACACTCTATTTGGGACTATTTCATGGCTTCCCTGCAAAACACATAAGCCCTAAGCACGGGGTGCAAAGAGAAGGGAAAACAGCACGTTAAATCAGCAAAGGTGCTGTTCTTTGGCAGAAAGCAAAACCACCTGCGTTGTAGCTGATGCCAGCTGAGAGCAGGGCAAACCCACGGCCGCACACAGCAAGAGGTAACTGCTCCGAGCCCTGCTAGCACGCCCCTCACTGAGGGCCACAGCTCTTCAGCTCAGCAGTTGTGAGAGGGACTTTGGGCTCGCTGAGCTCTCCTCACCTGGAACACCTCGGTCTGACTGGGCTGCGGGTGCGAGTGCTGGTCGCCGCTTTGCTGGTTGTGGTGTTGGCTCTGCCACTGGGACCAGACTTCGGAAGGTCTCCCCTGGAACTGGCCGCTGCTCTGGCCACCTTCAGCTGGCCGGGGGGGGGGAGAAAGGGCAGAAGTCAGAGAGCACCTCCTTCAGAACGCCTGCCTGCTTTTAAGGCTTCATCCACCCATGCCTGTGTTTGCAAATGAGTCTTAGGAAAAAGACCCCGAGTGACACCCCGCCCCCGCGGGGTGGAAGCCGACGGGAGCGTCAGCCCTGACTGCAGGGTGGGGGCCAACCCCGGAGCAAAGCTCATCGCCGCGGCTGCACAGACACGGCAGGTGAACTGCCTGCAGCAAAACGCACAGTGACACCATAAACCCGGCACTGGAGACAATTTTCAAGCATTCCCCCGCCCCTTTTTAATCACCAATACGGAATATTTGCCATTTTACTTAAAAACTAAACTGCATCACCTGAATGCTCTTTCTCTTTAAAAGACTAACTCTTACAGAGCAGTGGATGCCCAGTTACCTACTCATCTGAGAAGCATGTAAGCAGATGTAAGATTCTGTAAGCAGATGCAAAACCAGTAAGATCAACAGACAACAGCCTCGCTGTATTAAATGCAGACATTTACATTCAGGGTGGCAGAGCACTGGAACAGGCTGCCCAGGGGGGTTGTGGAGTCTCCTTCCCTGGAGATATTCAAAACCCGCCTGGATGTGATCCTGTGTGACCTGCTGTAGGTGCCCCTGCTTTAGCAGGGGGTTAGACTGGATGATCTCCAGAGGTCCCTTCCAACCCCTGCCATTCTGTGGTTCTGTGATTGCTGTATTAAATGCAGAGTGTTTCTTGCTGGACTAACTTGTCCTCAAATATTACAGCTGCAAAATGATTCATTTAACATGCAGCTTATAGCAAATTATTATCCTGTTCGTATGGTGATGATTTCTTAAAAGTCAGAGGCCATTTAAATTTCACAGAGTAACATGAACAGCAAGGTTTTACGGTAAATACACTTAAAATGATGATTTCAGGGAGATGGATTTCTTCTAAATAGTCTACCAGAAAAGAACATGATGCCACACACATTAATTTAGTCACCTATTACACATACACTTTTCATGAGTACAGTCACAGGCCACACTTACACTGGACTCATTTTACCCTGTATTTCTACAGACTGGCCCCAAATGTAAAAAATTTTGGGGTAATTTTCCTTCAATTATTTACAATGTGCCCCTCTAAGAATTCGCATTTCAGAAAGCTTGCGACCAGGCTTATCCTTTTCCTCCA